CATTATAATTTAGGGTATTTACAAATTAGTCCTTAAGCTTCAACTATAAATACCCTAGCTCATTTAGCTTCAATATCAACCCAAAGCATTCTAGCTTTCTTCCAGTACTAGAGAATTTAGAGAGTTTATTGAGAGTTGTTTTCTCTTTTTATCAAGAGAGAATTATCATTGTTTTCTCCTTGGTAGATCGAGAGAAGTTGTAATTCCTAGTTTCTCATAGTGAAATTCTTCTACTGTTGCCCGTGGTTTTTACCCTATATTATTTAGGGGTTTTCCACGTAAATTTTGTGTCTCTTTTATCTTCATTTTTATTTTCTCAAATTATCAGTTGTGATTTTGCTTTATTCGATAGCCGTCTTCCACAACAGATATCAGGTTACGTTACACAAGATGAATTTCTCTTCCCGCTTCTAACTGTCGAAGAAACGCTCATGTATAGCGCTCATTTGAGGTTGTACGATGGTCGCAACAAGGCTGCAATCAGAGTGAAAGAGTTACTCCATGAACTTGGATTAGAGCATGTTGTCGGTGTTAGAATCAGTGACGAATTGAATCGTGGGATTTCAGGAGGAGAGAAACGTAGAGTATTGATCGGGGTTGATTTAGTTCGCTTCGGATGTTCTCTTGGTTGATGAACCAATATCGGGATTAGATTCGGCATCTGCTCTTCATGTAGCACCGTTACTGAAATCTATGAGTACGAAACAAGGCAAGACAATTTTTTTAACTGTGCATCAACCTGGCTTCCGAATTCTCGACCTGTTCGATCGAACGTTACTGTTATCAAATGGAACTGTTATCCATCATGGACCCCTGCATCTCCTCGAGCAGCATCTCCGATTTACAGGTCATTCCATTACATTGCATTCTATGTTAATGTTCTCGAGTTTGCCATCGATGTGACAGAATCCTTGATCATAGATGACGAAGAAAGCGAAGAAGATGATGAAGAACAAGTTTTTGAAGATAATGTCCAAGAAAACAATATTTGTTATACCAACCATCAGTTCAGGGAGGTTCTGATATTGGGGAAGAGATTTTCTAATAACATCTATAGAACAAAGTAGCTTTTCGTAGCAAGAACTGTACAAGCACTACTTGATGGGATTATGCTCGGCACTATATTTACGAATACAACTAGTGATTTAACGACATCGAAGCTAAAAACCCGGATCGCCTTTTTGGCTTCAGCCTCACTTTCCTACTCTCATCAACAACCGAATGCCTACCGATTTATCTGCGAGAGAGAATGATTTTGATGGAAAAAACCTCAAGGGGAGCTTATAGAATCTCTTCTTATGTCATAGCAAACACCATGGTGTTCATTCCATTTCTCTTATATGTGGCTCTGTTGTACACTATCCCTGTACACTGGCTAGTAGGACTAAGGAGAGAAACCAATGCGTTTGTCTATTTCACCTTGGTGGTTTGGATGGTGGTTCTGATGTCGAATTCATTCGTGGCATGTTTGAGTGAACTCGTTCCGGATTTCATAACAGGAACGTCTCAGATCGCCGGCCTCGTCATATCCTTTTTTCTATTTTCGGGCTACTTTATATCGAAAGAGGAGATACCTAGGTATTGGATTTCCATGCACTACTTGAGTTTGTTCAAGTATCCCTTTGAGTGTTTCATGCTGAATGAGTATAGAAGAGAGAATGGATGCTTTAAGGTTGTGGAAGGGGAGTGCTATTTGAATGGTGAAGGATTCTTGAAGTAGCAAGGTCTTAAATAGTGGCAGAAATGGAGTAATGTTGTTGTCATGTTGAGTTTCATTATTGGGTACAGATTTCTCAGCATTTTGATTTCAAGTTATAGGTCATACAGAACAAACTCATTGTAGGAGAAAGCCAGGAATGAACTAAACGGGGCGGGGACAGTCACCCTGAGAATTTAAAATTTGTTTTCACTCTTGTTATAAGTTCTCTTCCACTTAAAATTTTAAAAATTTACTTCTTTAACATAAAAATTTTGAGTTCGTCCTTAGAAAAAACTAGGGGAAATTCTTTATGTCGAAAACTACCATGCTAATGTCTTGTAGAAAATAGGTGACAATGCAAAAGATAAGGTATCATTGTAGAAGACTAATTCTAAGCATTATCTGGCAAATGTCCTTCTATTTGAATTATATGATATCTCACGTAAATATAGACATAATTTTATGTTAAGGGAATGAACTTCTAAAATTTTAAGAAGAGAAGAAAAAAAATTCAAAAAAAAATATAATAAAATTTGAAAATATATGATAATTTTAAATTTTAAATAATTATATTTATTTATAATTTAAATATATATATATATGTGGCTAAATATCCTATATTGGATTTTCATTCTTTGTTCACAAGTGCAGTCTTCGTAGATACACGAGTTTATTTTTATTTTAAATAATTAAATTTATTTATAATTTAAATATAAACATAAAATGTTCTAAAACTTTAAAAGTTACAATTTATAATTAGAGTAGTATAACTGTCAAGAAGTTTCATATTGACCGAAGTACTAATTAAAATAAATTGTGACATAACCAACAACTACTTAGTATGACGAGATGAGGTACTAAATTCATTAAATAAACTAGATTTAAATTTTAATGATTGTAAATAAAGTAAATTAGATTAAAATGGTCACTCTCATAATAAAATTCTATAAAATTTGATTTAGATTAATCATTCAATAGATTAAGTACTAATAATTAATTTAAAAAAGTGATATAAGCGGTACAAAAACTAGTAAAATTTAATTTTTGTTTGAAATAGTTTTAATATTGAATTATTTTCTGTCAATCTGACTATTTTGACAAAGGAATTATTTTTGTTTTCTTTTTAATTTTTATATTATTTTTTACGTATCTTTAATATATTTTATTGTTATCACCGAATTTTGGAAAAAGATAACATTTTATTACTTTACATTCATGTTGAATTATACTTAATAAGAATTTTTTTTATTATGGTTTGCACTTTTATCCTGATTAACTTTTTTTATCCTAATCTGCATGACCCATATGATATGTATCATGTTATTACATGTTACATGCATGGGTGACAAGAAATCAGTAGTACTGAGACTATTGATGGGAGAAAAGTACATTTTATTATATTGTTTATAATTTTTTGGGTTATTTCTTTCTTTTTCTCTCATGTAACTATGACAGCTAATAGGAGAAAAGTATATTTTATTTGATAGAAGAAAAATACTTTTTTTAACCTATAGTGGTTGGTTCAACTAGTAAGCAGTTTAATATCACTTAAGTAAGATATTAAGTTCGAGTTCTTGTTTAAACAAAAAATTTATGTTGGAAGACTTACCCACTAAAATTAGATTTGCGATGCGAATCAGTCCAAATTAACTAAAGAAACATTAAAACTAGGAGGGCAACAAAAAAGAAAGAGGAATTCTTAAAACTTCGACTTTATTTGTGTTTGTTGGAAAAATTCAATATTTTTGTAGTTTTAGATGAGAAATTGAACCAATTGTTGTTGAGGAAAACATGGAATCAATTGTTGGTTTGTAAATGTGCAAACATGCACTAAATAGATAATGTGAATGTTCAAATCGGTCGGGTCTTCCGTGTGCTTGCGGATATTTTAATCCAAATTTGAAATATTTTTCCTTTTTAAAATTATATTTTTGAAATTAAAATGATAAATATTAAAAGGTTCCTTTAATCAATAAAGTAATTTTGAAAATTACTTTATTCTCAATTATTAATGCTAGTCAAAAAATTTGAATAATTCACTATGTGAAGTCCCTATCAATATCGGGCTTCCTCACTCATATAAGGTTGTGAAAAAAAATTATTTTCTCATACAAGACATCTACTATATTATTTTTTGAACTAGGGTCATTACTACAGTGTCAATGGAAAGACGTCAAGATTGTCATATATTACTATACGTCTTTTATTTGTAAAGCTAAAAAAATGGTGAATACGCACTACACTCCTGGGGTCTTCTAAAGTCGCGTGGAACACCATACGTCTTTGCCTAGTTACTGTAGCAATCACCCTATCTTAAGAAATAATTCTGATGTTGGATTATTTTGGAAATTCTTTTTCCCAAAAGGTCTATCTCAACCATTTTGCCATCAATACTATGTAAACCTACTAAGTTAAAACACAACTCAAAAATCAAATTTTTTTTATTCTCTAGTTTTTCAATGATAGACAAAGGTAAAGGAATATTTCGTAACTTCTATTTAGTAGTGTAACTGTAATTGACTATCTAGTTGTTGTATTATAATAAACAGACGACAACGATCTCAAGCATCTAGGAGTTGCTGAAAATATATTTTAAAGAAATTGCGTAGCTATAAACATCAACTCATTTATAATTTAATATTTATTTTTATACTATTTTTTGATTATTTAATAAAGTTTTTTTTATCGTCTTGGATGGTTATAGTTTGTAACAGTGTTACGGTGATAAATTTAATGTGATGTGTTTTTGTTTTCCTTTGATACGTTGGACTCGTGATAAAATTTGACCCAAGGGTAACCGTGCATGTAAAATGTAAACAGGACAGGCCAGCTTTACGGTGACTTTAAAGATTCCTAGAAAGGCTAATATTTTTCTGCAAAATTTGTCTTAAAGTTGGGGAAAAGGATCGATATTGGTGGTCAAAGAAAGGTATATTACCATTTATTCCATCTGAATCAAGCTTGTGTTTTTCTAATTTCTTTATTTCAATGTTTGCTGTTCCAATGCTTTTCTTGTTAGCAGTGAAAAGGAAGAGTTTTTGGCAAATCCAGCACACATTCTTTACTTGCTTTCATCATCATCATCATCATCATCATCTTCACATAGGTTTTAAGTAGTGCATCCATGGTTTCATTCATCCATTATTCATCATCATCATCATCAAATTAAGAGCTAAAGCTTTCTGCTAAAATGGGTGTTCTTGCAGTCATTGCCAAACGTCTAGATGCAATCGTCGGGTACTGATTTTGTTTTCCTCCTTTATTATTTATTTACATGTCGGAAAGTTAACATTAAGAAATTGCTTTTCTGTGTCCCAGGCCTGGAGTAATGCTCCTTTACCCATTGTAAGTAAATTCAAAATTAATTAGGGTTCTTCTTCTTATTGTTTTAGTTAGGGGTGGGCGCTCGATCAAGTTAAGTCAAGTCAAAAAAATTCAAGTTATTTAAATTGATAAGTCATATTTTATAACTCAAACATTATTTGAATTTTTTTAGTTGAATTTTTTAGTTTATGTTTAAATTCAATTGTAAATACTTATAATATTATAATATTATTTAATTCTAATTTAAACGGTTTCCTATAACCATTTACAATACATATATATTTCTTCATATTTTTTCATATATATGATATACATATATCATACAGAGTTGGAGAACTCGACTCAAACTTGAAAACTAATCCACTAATTATTAAAAATTTCGAGTTATTCAAGTTCTATTTTATAACTCAACTTGAAATTGATTTTTTTGGTTGACACAAATTTATAAAATTACGGGTCAAAACGAGTGGAAAAAATAAATTTTTTGAGTCGAGTTTTTTTCATCCTAGATTTAGGGTTTAAAATGACTTGTGAAGATGAACAGATATGCATCAATCCGAGCAATAGAAAGTCCATCAGTGGTAGATGACCAGCAATGGTTAACCTATTGGATTATATATTCTTTCATCACCCTATTTGAGCTCTCGTTTTGGAGAATTCTCGCTTGGTAATCACCCTCTTTCTCATCATCATCATCATCATCGTCGCCATCATAATCATCATCATCTTCATCATGGGTTTAATAAAGAAACATGCAGGGTGCCATTATGGGCATACATGAAGCTGTTGCTGTGCATGTGGTTGGTGCTGCCGATATTCAATGGGGCAGCTTATGTGTATGAAAACTATATAAGGAAATACATAAAGCTTGGAGGATTTGGGGGATCAAATTATACAGAAGATCAAAAGAAGATCCTCCAGATGATTAGCTTAGACGCTAGGAAATATGTTGCCGAGTACGTTGACAAGCATGGCTGGCCTGTCTTTGAACGAATTATCAACGAGGTAACTATTTATATATATATTCTAGTTAGGGATGGATGCAGGATTTTATATTAGAAGACGAATTCATAAAAATTTAAGATGCGAAAACAGGTTTTCAAATAGAAAATACAAAAGAAAATTAATATATATATATATATAGAAATTTGAAATTTTTATAAGGAGTAATCACCCCCCAACCCAACCTGTAGCCCGTAGGTCCATCCCTGGTTCTAGCTGGTGATCACCCTCCCCCACCCGCCCAGTAGGTCCATCCCTGGTTCTAACTGGTTCATGTTTCTCCTTTATTGCTAATGTTTTTGGCCTTTGTAAACTGGCTTTTCAGGCTGAGAAAGAAGCAAAGAAACATTAAAATCTTTACGGCCATCACTGACTGTCGAGGAATGCTTCAAGTGTAATTGTGGTTATGTATCTCTCAAAAAATGAGAGAAGTGAAAAACTTGTTTGAATCAAAGGAGAAATGTATGTTCAATTTCTGGATATGGAATGTGTATGAATCAAGGATTTATGGATCAAATAAGTAATTCATTCAGGTCTCAACTCACTATAAAAATTTAAAAGCTTCACAAACATTTTGTATCGTACCATAAAAAACCAATAATTAAAATTAATGGTAAAAAATAAGAAGATTTTTGCTAACAAAATACCAGCAAAACATAATTTTGGGATTCTTCCCCCAAAAAAGTTACATCTGTTGAAGCCATTGCTTCATTAAAGGTTTTAGGATCTTCTATAGTTAAAAGTATTGGGGTCTTGTATAACACTTTGGTTGTATTGCTTCATTAAAGATTACTTTTATTTTTTAAAAAATAAAAAATATTGAAGACCAAAAATGAAACAAAAGCAAATAAAAATATAAAAAAAATATTTTCAATGTTTTCATTAAAAATGTTTTGGAAATTTAAAAAATAAAAATACACGTTATCTAAATTTTTAACTTAAATTACACTGTTCAAATCCTTCTAATAAGAATTTTTTGACTTAATGATATCTGAAATTCTCAAACTTTTACCCAAAAAAATTAATAGGCTTATTCCCTCATTCCATAATTCATAGGCAAAATGTTAATAGTTCATCACTCCAAAGATAATTATGTAATTTGACATTTAACAACATGAGTTATTATTTGGTATATTATGAGTGTGGGGGGTGATTCTACAAGTGTCCTTAAATCTTATGAAATATTTATAAAGTAAATAAAAATAATATTTGTTATCATCTTAAGACCGCTTGTAAAATTATTATTGTTTTCTATTGGTGGTCTGCCAATAATAACCCTAAGAACATACTAGTAATCATATTTACTAAGGTTCTATTATTTCTTTCAGCTACAGCATTTTATTGGGTGCATGTGATGTTATTCTTTGATGAATATTCCACAATCTTCGTAAAACATGGGGAACGATTCTAGAAAATATTCATCACCTCTATCATTTCGAAGAATCTTAATATTATTTTCAACCAATGACTTGAATTCTTGAAATTTCTAAAAGATTTGTCCTTTGTTCAATCAAGTAGACATAAGTTAATCAGGAGTAATCATTAATGAACAATGTTGTAACGTCTTGATGATGGGATTTTTAAATTTTTAAAAGATTTTTTTTGAACCGGTAACTAAAATCGGACGAACCGAAAACATAAAGGACAATCGTACAATTTTAATAAGAAAATGGTCTGTGAAAGCATAAATCCACTTTTACTACTTTGGGTTCCAAATTCCCAGTACACAAACCTTAAATTAAGAACACAACTTTTTGTTGGAACACTTGGCCTAGAGCTTCATTCATGATGTAATAATTTAACTGATGCAAGTGATTTTTTTTGGGGGGGTTTTTTTGCTCTTTATGTCCGTCAATACAACATATGTATATAAATATACAACCTCACTGGTTGATGATGGCAGCAAATCATGAAACCTGAGCTTCATTCTTTAATTGATTCCACGGAACTTGAAAGCAAGGAGCATTGAAATTCGGCCTCGTATCCCGCTAGGCTAGTAGACAGTCCTGTACCATCATCACATGAATGATTTATAAAACTGGGTGACAAACATTGAAAAGGAAAATTATCAGCAGGACGAGAAGACTTACTAAAACCTGTAAATCTTTGTTGATTTCTTCCGAGTATCCGACATGTTGCCGCTCTTGGTCAGGGATGCAAAAGGGATGGTTGAATGGATCAACCTTGAGTTATCCTGATCCGCATTTTGGTTGGGTTGCAGGATGTGCTTCACTCCAGGACTCAGTTTAATTGGACTCAATCTTGTCACACCATATGAATCAACATTGGAAGAACCGATTCCAGCTGAAAGTCCAAACTCAATGCATTGAGACTGGTTTGGAATCCATCCTCCAAAGCTTGCTTCATTCCTTTCAGGTTCGATTTCAAGTGATTCCATGTTACGTTGAATGTCATCAGTGAAGTTTTCTCTTGTCAACCGAGTTGCAGCTCTTGATTCATCTCGAATTCCTAGATTTTTTACCTTCATGGGATTCATTGGATAATCTGCTTTAAGCGCAGGCCCCTTCCTTGTCTTCTGGCAAATATCAGAATCCTTACTGCTGACAATTTTTGACTTCATTCTGTCTTTGAACTTGATTCCATTCCTCTGGCTTAGGTTAACAGATGTTGGTTTAACTACCGGGAGCGATGAGGTGAATGGGGAGTGAACTAAAGATGGTTTCCCAGCTGAAATTTTCTTTTGTGAGTAAGAGATCATCGGATTGCGATCATAAGAAACTATTGGAAAACGAGGAACCGAGCGGTTAATAAGAAAACTAGTATGAGCAGAATGCGGACAATGTCTACCACCCACATCAGGAAACAGTTGAGAAGGTGTACTAGGTGCCTGCACTTGCTGTGTTGCTTGTAATAACCGTGGGATCAGGCTCTTTGAGGATTCTGGACACCAATATGGTTGGACTTGTTCAACATGATCTGGGTGCAAAAAGGGAAAGTTGAAAGATGACTTTCCAGCATTCTGTAGATTCTGGTTGTTTTCGAGTTCAACAGAATACCCCTTTATATTCTGATACTTTCGGCGTGAAGCAGATACAGCCGGTTGTCGGGAAGTAACTCTTAATGCTTCTGTTCCTGATAAGAAAGACTGATGAAAGTCAGCTCCATTTTCAAATGTAGCATGGGATGTATGTGGATGAGCAAAATGGTGTGAGCTTGGACTAGGATCTTGAGCAAATGTAATGCTGCTGCTATTTTGGAATTCCGGATTTGCTTGCCAGTTAAGGCTTGGTTGAAAGAAATTAGATTCAAGAGGCTTCATGAGTACATTGCTGGGAAAGGCCTGATTTCTCGCTATTTCAAATTGTCGAACAGTTGCTTCACTACGCATTCCTGATGCTCGATCCAGATGCCAGTCTTGCTGAAAATGTTTATTAACACAGGAATTCTGAAGGGCAGTACTTTTAGGAGCATCTGCAAATCCTTGTCTTTCATCGCTGCTTTGACGAATTGTAACATCTTTTCCCATCAACCTTATTGTTGCAGTGGCACTATTCAGCAACATCTCTGCAGTTTCCGTTGCATGGCTCATGTCTTTTTCCTTTGGGTTCTGAAACTGGTCATATTGTTCGCATCCACTGAAAGAGATGTTCATCAGATTTATGTCTGAATCCATCAAACAATCAAAGCGGCTGCATCTCCTATCAGAATTTGTAAAGTAGCCATCTTTTCTATGGTCTTGTAAATCTGCAGCCCCTACTCTAGCCGATGAATGTATGTTCATTTGATTCTGAGCAGGAAATAAGTAGTTTGGAAGTGCTCTTTCAATAAAATGCTTCCCTTTCATGACTGAATGATCATCCACGCCCCGTGGCAAGCGGAGATTTTTAATGCTATTGGAAGAACCTGGTGTTGGATTCGGTTTCTTTTGCTGGTTGAGTCCTCCTTTTCCATTTGCATTGGTCTGCACTAGTTCACCTAGTGAATTAAGAGGCAAGCCCAAAAATTCCTCGTCCCGGAACTTTTCTCTTAAGGCAACTTCCTTCCATTCACGGTCCAGGAAGGGACACAACCTCCCCCTCAGTTCACTAGGAGTCGGCCGATACAATAGCTGATGAGACAAAGCATGACCAGAAACATTTTGTGATGCGAATTGTGATGTAAACGGGGAATTTCCATTTGCGTTTTTACTCGAAGAAAAACCAGATGATGAAGGATGCAAAGATGCCCTCGGACTTGCCTTAGAACTTATAGCGACTTCCTGGGTGCGATCTCCAAAATAATCAACAAATTGGGAACTGCATTTCAAAATTGTTGAAACACCCCCACCTACTTGAGAGTTGGAAAAAGGATTCTGGATCCCTTCCACTGCAGAGAAGTGTCTAGGAGCCACAGCATACGGAGGGCTATGAAATGCAGTTTGATTACCTTGGTTAGACATATGCAAATTACCAGACCCTAATACGACTTGACCTGGACGCAAAGATCGATTTGAAAATTGATTTTCTTTTTCTTGCGCCGAGATACGTGGTCCGAGAAATTTTGGTATATAATCATTATAATGCATATCAGGCCACAGTTGCTTCTCCTTTGCATCTTGCACCGTAATCTCATTTTCTGTGCTAAAAGAGACATCCTCATCGTCACTTGTGTTTCTCTCTCCAGTCGGAAATTCTTTATCGTCATCATTCTCGTGGCCTTTTTCCAACAGCTCAAGTGAATCGGAATCAACACGGCAGATATTTTCCTCGAATGAAGCAACATGTTTCTTATGTGGACCAAGTATGTCATCCTTACCTGAGAAACTGACATGCCTGACTGAATGTTGAATGCCACTGGTGCTTGCTAGAGTAGTGACCCTCAAATTGCATGTTACAGCATTTTTCCCAGAAATACTTTTGACCGGGTTCTTGAGAATGCCACGAACAGGCGAACATGGCTTTTCACACTCTACAATTAGTTGCGATGCTTGAACCACCTTCCTTTTCTTCTTTGCAGACATGCATTTCAGACTTGGTTTCTCTCCAGGGACAGCAATCGCATTCGAGCCCCTATTGCACAGTGTATGATTAGCTTTTCTACTGAAATTGACAGGAGTTTGCAGCTTCAGCTTGGTACCATTTTCCTGAGACACGAAAACAGAAACATCATCACGCCAAGTTTCTCGAAAAATTCAAGTCATTTCAACTGTTTTTGAATTCAACTGCGAAACATAGGCAAAACAAAGTAATGCTGCATGCATGAATGTTCTCAAACAACCCATTGCACAACACTTGTTCTAGAAGGAAACATAGTAAGCAAAGTACCTAGGAAGGAATCAGCTGCCAATCGTTTTATACTTGGAAGAACATTCTTATTTGCCGTATTAATTACATTTCTACAGTATGTTTCACAAAGACACAAAACTTACAGATAAAGACTGCACAACATCATACACTGGCATAATGCAAGAGTATCTTCATCATCATTTTGATATCTTTTTGCCCCTTTCCAACAGAAGATCTTTCATATGTGTTTTGGGAAGCGCAACAGCATAAATAAAATATTATTATTTCCTCATGCTCTAACCAAGATGGACTATCAGTAACCAGTGTAACTTATAAAACAAGACTGCTCATATTTTCAGCTACCATCATCATCTACAATGAACATTCTGTCAATATTTTCATCTCAAAATTACGTTATATAGCCATGTTCCTGTGCTTTCCATCAACACTTCCTCATCAAGCCAATGGAAAACTCATATCAATAGGCCGAAAGCATTTTCACGATAGTTACAAATTCCACCTACTAGGACCAAACAATGTGCGAAAGTCCATGCCCGATGGAAAAAGGATGACTTCATCCATAAACCATCAGTAAAACCACAATCCGTACAAATCCAACGTTTCCGCCATTAACACAAAGAAGGGTTACAAAAAACTACAAGAGGCTCATAAAATATGAACAGATGCTATCTCATTATGCAGCTGGCTAAGCATCGACGACATAATCCCAGAACAGAAAAAGCTTCACACAGTAGATCTAGTACCAACATATAGGACTCCTCAACAATTCAGTAAGCCAAAAATATATGATCTGCTCAAACAAACAACTTTCAACCAGATCATGACAAAGAATTACCATAGCCAGTACACATTTCTCTCATAAGATCATGACAACAATTTACAATTCTCCATATTCTTGGCAATTTTCCAGTCCACATTATCATCAATCCTACCTTATAGCTTAAACAGTTCACCTGAAATCATTATTCAAGCCCTTCCCCAGCGTCCATAATCTATAAATCTCAATAATGAGAAACTCCAACAATAGGTTGAAACACTAGCCATTAGATCAATACCAAGACTGGCCCCAATAGCTAAATGATTATCTTTGATAGAGGAAAGAAGGGAAAAAAATATTGCAACAATAGTCAAAAGAAAACAACAGCATGAGTAATCTAGGATAGATATGCTAAATCTAGGACAAGAAACCTTTAGCAAATGGAAGATTTTTCTGCCCCAACCCTTATTGTACAGCTGGAGCACCACACCTCCCCTAAGCTCCCTTAATAACCAGCTCAAACCTTCCCAAACATGAAAACTTCATCTCTTTCTTTTTACCTTTTCCCCTCTCTTTGTGCTGCTGGTGAACATTATTGCACACAACAAGTACAATTGCAAGGTAGTTGCTCAGTGATCTCAGTCTTCGAAATGAAGACAGTCTTTAAACAGCTTTATCAGCAGTAATTTTATAGAAATCAGAAAGGGAAAGAGAGAAAACGCAAATGAAGAACATAGATTTGTACTACACAGTACATGGAGTAGCTCAAATTGCAATTCATCAAGATCATGTGCCCACATTAGAAAGAATTAATGGCTATTCATCATGATATGAACATAAAATGAAATCAAACTACTCAAGATTATAATAAAGCACATAATAAGCAATATTTTATGATGTAAATCACATACCTTGTTAACAATCATCAGCCCATTTTGCTTGTTATTCTTCTTTTTCAACTTAGTCCTTTTGTTCATCAACTTTTTCACGATTGCCACTTTCTTCTTCTTTGGCCTCTCAGTCTTGCAATTCAACTCTTCCAGGCCTCCATTTTCATCTTCCTCAAGAGCATCAACCTTCTGGATCTGAGGAGCCACAGCAAAAATCTCAGTGATGGAACGTTTCTTGGGGGTTCTTGATTTTGTAGGCCTAATTAGCATCCTCATTTGGCGCCTCGCTTGTCTAGATGCTTGAGCAAGGCAGCTATCAACATGAGCATTCAACGCATTCACTGTTGAAGCAGAAAATGCCCCACAAACTGGACATTCCAACATGTCTGACCTTTCATAGGATTTCTCCCCGACGTGAAGATTTACTTCCTTTTCTTGAAGATTATTCTTTTCCATGCCGCGGCTGCTGCTGCTTTGTAATTCAATTGATTTGAGAAGATCAAGCTCGTCGGACCACCAGCGGAATTTGGTGACTGTGATCGGAGGGAGAAGAGATTCCATGCTTTGTTTGCTCATCTTACTGTTACCATCATCATCATCATCACCCGAAGAAGAGTCTCCGCTGAAGGGCCAGCATTTCACCACGTCGATGCTTCTCATTTTGGAAGCATACTCTCTATACAAAAACAACAGATTAACGAAGTCAAACAACAAGAAGAAAAAAAGGAGGAGAAGAAAAACCTTTCTAAAATCCATAAAGTAAACCCAAAGGAAACAACTCACCGGATGGAAAATCCTTCAAACACAACCGCCATGCTAATTCTCGAAACAAGTACGTACCCAGAAAGAGAAATCAGCGTCTAAACCAGAAGAAGAGGAAGAAAACAAGGAAAGCAAAGTCCGGGTAGCTAAAATTAGACTAAAAAGGAAAGGAAAACAAAGAAAGAGGAAGACCCATACCCAGACTCAGATGGAGAAAGAGAAAGATGAGAAATTGTTTGACGATAGATATGTAAAGGTTTGTTGTATCTACCTCTCTATCTATCTTTCTATGGTGCACTCAAGGGTGAGAATATATGAATTATAGAAAGAGAAAGGCTCCACATTTTTTCCCGCTCGATGAGAGAGAGAGAAGAAGAAAGAAAGAGTTTTCCATTTCATGCTTTGCTTTGCTTAGCCTTGAAAGCTCTCTCCTTTCCCCTAATTTATGACTGAAAGCGACGTATGAGACCGCAAGCCAACGCCAAAAAGTTTCAGAGAATAACCAATTTCACCTTTCTTTATTCGCTTCTCTCTCAACCTTTGGTTTACCCTTACATACAACACCCACACACAGATATTGAAATACAAATAAAGATGAAACCTTGTTTTATTTTATACATTTCTTTACCTATAACACCCCATCGTGTACGCATAAAGAACAAAGATTCACTGTAAGAAAAAGAAGGTCTCGGTACGCGCTTATTTACTGTGAGTGGGTTCCCTCCATTCGGAAAAAAGAAAATAATGAAGTGGGGTTGGTATTTGTAATGCTAAACGAGTATTAAATTTGTTGGGTTAGGTTGTTGCTAACCTATAAAGAAATGGACATATTGTATCAACTAAACTAATTTAATTAGTAAACATTTTGATATCATTTAAATAGATCTTAAATTTCGAGTGAGAGATTCATCTATTAAAATTGTGCGATACGGATAGTATGAATTAATTAAAGTAAAATCTTACTAAGGGAGAAAAAATTGACACCCTATTCTTCAATTGCTCCTACAGATGTTCCCCTTCAGAGTACCCAATATGTCCCAACTCTTTCCTTCTTCTGCTTCCACAACTTCCTTCTTTTCGTTCATACCTTGTAAAGAAACTACTTTACCTAAAAGTTTTGAGTGTTTTTATATATTTTATGTTCGTTTTATAGTCTATATTCGAGATTAGTGATTATTCTACCCATCAATCTTATTTTTAAGATTCGAACGTGAATTCTCTCACTAAAATTATAATGAAGAAATCGTTGTTTGTGCAGTGGCTGAATGGTTTATGCATCCATGCATGGCATATAGCGGAAGGAGATTGAAAGTCGAAGTAACTGTAACCCACATGTGATAGACATACCGTGCCCATACTTAAATGTATGCCCGGAATTCATTGAATAACCTTAGTGATAAAAGAATTATTGTTCTCTTAAGACGATTCAGATTCGAGCAGTTACGTTTGTAAGGTGTTTGCATTATCAATAGACTAAGACAAATACTACTTTGTAATCAACCCAGACTAAAGAAAATTACATGCATGCATGTATGTATGTCGAATTAGCTAGAGTGAAGAAATAACTTTGCATTGCATGCATTTGTAGTTGTTCTTGTCCTTGTCCATCTCTGATTGTCGACAAGCTCTAGTTTTTGGCAAGTGAAGATGTTAGGGCTAATTTGCCTTTAATAGCTACTAGGGTATGATCAATAATATCACTAAATTATCATATGGTTTAACCTAACAAATCTCTTGCAAGATATACATATACCAACACCTTTTTCAGCAGACATAAACCCATAGGACATAGGTTTACTATTATATATATAGACAGGATTCAATTACAATGTAAATCTATTTTAGTTTTATATAAATTTAGAATTTCTATGAGTAAATACGTAATTTAAGGTCAATTTTTATATAAAAAGAGAGTTTGAAATGAGTTTAGGTTGAATGATGGTATCTGTAGTTCTAGTTGTATTAGTTTATGCGGGTTAATGTTCCTAATGCTGTATATATAATCATGCAATGCAAACTAAGAATTGACTGAAAACATACTTTATATACAAGTGGACTAGGTTCTTCAATTCCTTCTATTATTTTCTGTCCCTTTAGCAGGTCGGTAGAATTTTGTAATTCAAATTACATCTTGATTCCATATAAATGGTTTAAGATGTAATTCGTATATAAATAAAGTGATTTTAGTGGTTAAATAATTAATATTATTTTTTGAGATATTGAGTTTGAACACTATGTGATATGAGTATTCAATATTAAATAATTAAAAATCTTTTAATGTATATTACATTGTATTTATCGTAATATGGACTTTTGCTGCACAATTTGAATTAATATTTTACTATATTTTTACTACTAAACGATGATTAAAAACAAAAATTTTAATATAAGTAGATTTTTCGTTACATAACTTTCTTTACAATTAAATAATTATATTTTCATAACCAAAAATTAGTTTTTTTATTAAGTTAAAGGTGATTATAAAGTAGTATATGTTCTAAGTACACTCAACCATTTGATAATAAATGTTCAATTACCCTTACGGTTATTGGTGTCCACCAAACCCGTGACCTCTTGGAACAATAATTATTCTTTTAACCACTGATGTAAGTTGGTTCATGTATAACTAAAATTTAGCTGATCTAATAGGATGAAGCACTAGATTCTTTAAGTAACGTCAAGTGTTCGAATCCTAACATTTATGAATTGAGCAAATTGAATTGTGGATGGTTGCCCTCATATGAGCCTTTACAAAATCCAATTTGTATTAGTATAATCATTAATATTTGATTTATTAATCGACTAATATAAATTAAATACTACAAAGACAATAAAACCTTAACCTAATTTATTTTACATACCTAAACGTTAAAATTTAAACTTTTAACATATCTTAAAAAAAACTAATATCTCCTATCATAAGATGAATTAATTGTTGATTTTTTATCCAACAAGTCTTAATTTATTGTATCGCTATCAACATTAATAACCTATTCTAAGATACCAAAACACAAGTCATTTTCAACTGGCAACTGCAAGCCACAGGATAAAAGAAAAGAAAAAGTACTTGCAAAATTACAAATCCCAAGTTGAAAGGTATAACTTCAACCACGTGTTACTCACGCGCCAAACTCAATGCCATTATATTATTACTGGGGAAAACCCTAAAAGATCCAGGAGAGTACGTGAAAAATAAATAAATAGTTTAGATAATAAATAAAAACTAGAAAGAAAAAGTAGGTGATGAACATTATGTTTGTGAATGTAAATTCGAACCCACTCACTCACAGTTATCATTGATTCCTCTACCTGCATTTGGGGTACACCCACCACTTAACCCTTTTGCATCAATCATACATATATATTATCTATATTTATTATTATTATTATTATTATTATTATTATTATTATTATTTGTTAAATATTTAGAAATATTTTTTAGCATAAATAAAAAGATAAATTATACGTTTAATACTTAAATTATTATTTTTGTTTCATTTGGTACTTAAATTTTTTATTATCTTTTTTATTTTAGGGTTTCATCCTGATTAATACAAACCAACCTGCGTTACACACCTAATTTTGATGGATGAGTTTGTCAACGAATTTTTAATATATATAAGATCTCGAATATTAATTTTTGTGCCCACCCTGAACAATTCTTACATATGCCATCGCTTATTCTGATTGAGTTGATGTTACATATTATTCAATTGAATATTAATTTAATTAAGAAATAATTGTAAATTAATCAAATATAAATTTAATAGAAAATAATTAAAATACTTTTTTAATGAGAATAAATATAATTATAAGACTATTTTTTATAAAATTTTATATAATTTTTAAAAATAATAATTAAAAATTATTGCTCATAATTCAAACACGAGACTATTAACGCCAAGGTAATCATCATTATACAAATCAATTAAACGATGGTAAATCATTTTTATTTTTTATTTTGATAAATATGAGATAAATAAAATGTAATATTTATTTAAATATTTTATATTTTTAACAATAAACGTTTATAATTTTAACGTATGTGATATTCGAATTTAGAATCACAAGAGATACCGGTAAATCTCTTAACAATCTAGTTCGTTCAGCTTGTGCGGTAAATCAATTAAACCCAGTAATTTTTTTAAGTTTTAGTGTGTGTGATGATGTATGGTATATATATTATATCCCATGCATGCATGCATGCATGAGGTCTGAAGCAGATGGAGACAAAAGCTCCACTGTAAGCTGACATGGACCCCCCACGAGCCCACTTCACCTTTACCACACACTTTCTGCCTTCTTGACAATGACTGGTTTCCATTGTGAATTCAGACTCAGTTCGGTTGCTTTTCTTTTCTTCTGCATTCCTTGTTACTTTTAACTTTTACTTTCATTAATACATGTTTACATCAACCATTTACTTAAATACAAAATTAATGATCTCCATCAAATTCAAAACTGTGATTATCAGATATGATGCAAATATTGAATGATCTGCAATATTTGATTGCATACCGGGAGAGACGATGTCTAGCTTCTTAAGGACTATCTTGGCTGAATATTTGATTCTTGATGGTCGGGACCGGAACACAGTTGTGGTGGTAGTAGAGAACTAGAGATCGGAGTTGATCCGATACGGGTTGGTTGAAACTGATAAAGGGTAGAGTCGACCATGGTAGCTCGGTTCCATGATGGTTTGCAAGTTATGTTGTCAAGCCATAACGGAGGAGTGTTATGTTGACATGGATGGAGCCGCAAGGTTGGAGACGTAGTTTCCACTTCGGCCTTCCTCGAGTATCCTTCTGCTCTTTTATAACACCCCTAACTTGGCTTAGTTGAAAACATGGTCGAAGATATCACCTTAGTTGATTGAAATTCAAAATCGAATAAGAATTAAATCAAACAATGAGATATTTCGATAATTGTCAAATATCTATTTCGGAACTAAATTGTTAATCATATCAAATATGAGGGTTTTATGGCATTTCAAATCATCAAAATGAGTTTACAAAATAAATTCTTTTTATCACATAAATCCTAAAATTAAAGATCAGTTTAAAAAAAATTACCAAGCTTGCATGTTATTACCTATTAGTATAGATTGTTAAACTTTCAAACATCAAACAATTGATCCATATCACCACCTACACACAATAGACATACTCTCAACATGCTTCAAGCATTAGAATCCTCCGTACCATGCTTCTCACCTAGCATAAGACTATGAAATATGTCAATACATGCACATAAAATACTCATCAAATTTACAAGACTTTGCGTCACAATATAGCATAAACATGAAAAATTATACCATAAACATACAAAGACATGAAAACACATTATCAAATAGTGACAAAGGCCTCAAACGTTGGTCCCCTTCCTAGGAGTTTGGGAAAAAAATCTACATCGATGGAGATAGGCTTTTGACTTTTGAAATACAAATCGAAATTGATCTTTTTTCAAGTCTATCGAGAGATTCCAAACAAACTCATAAGAAATACAATATACAAAGTAAGCTTCGAGAAGCACGTTGAGGTAATCAAACATGCAATAAAAGAACCATACATTTAATTAATATATAACGAGAAACAAACTACAGATGTGATCATCACTTTGGTCCATGTACACATTTCATGCTTAATTATTACGTGGTTCACATTTGTTATTAAATACTTTAGACGGATAAACGGAACTACATCACCTCGAAAGGTAACACCGAATCAATTTAACACAACCAAAGAAATATCACATCATACTAAGGCTCCCTAACACTATCTAACTCGTATCACAAGTGCTAAATCAATCTTATAGCATGTCGACTATATTTGTAAGAGTTACAATATCAATTAGCTCAATTTATGATATCTTTCGCATATCAAATATCTATTTAACATATATCAACATATCACTAAAGTTAACATGCTTCCACTTTCATTTTAGCTTTGACATATATAGTCTCACCATGAATATAAATATATTGGGTCTCTAACCACGATACATACAACTATGCATCATCATATGCAATACACAATCATCACACAAACACAATTATAGCACCTGGTGTCACCATAATCGTCGGGTATTGATCACAAATGGAAGAACCCGGTGTCACACATGCCTCGATGAAATTTTCACCAATCAATAAGATGATCTCCCGAGCTCAACATAGCCAACAAGTATAGATCATGGAGGAAACTCGGTCTAAACATAGCCTCGGTATAATTCCCAATCAATAACAAATCATTGGTTTGGTGTCACTATAACCGTCAAGCCAAGCATCATGGATATCTAGCAATCATCATCAATACAATTACAACATGCATAGGTGTCGATAGGCCACACACATCAATCAATGTCACACAAGAGCAAAGCAAGGTAGCTCGACTACACACTATCACAATTCATTACAATCAGGTGAGCTCGTCCCCTCACGTGTTCTCTCATCTAGAATGTTATACAAGAGTTCATTAATCTTTTTACATCTATTTAATCTATAGACTGTACTATTCTAGTCATTTTAATGTATAAAGACATTTTGGTCATTTTCACCTCTAAATGGGTCTTTTTAGTGTTTAATGTCCTTAAGGCAATTAATATCATCACTACTCATGTTATATATTATTTGCAAGTCTGATAATCGACTTGGGGTTAATTATTTGTTAGTGACTCTCTAGTCACTCTTATTACATTTTCCCTCAATTCACTCTTGAACGGAAAGGACACCTTGTACGCCATTGATCTATTGATATTCACATTGTACATAATCCCACTTGCATATGTATCATTCACAACGATCTGTCGTTTACACTTGCTCACTACAGGTTCATTTAGGTGCGCTTTGGAGTTCCTTACCCATCAAGGGTACTTGGGTAATTTATGTCACTTAAGGAGTATTTTGGCCATTTCATAAATTAGTACCATTTTCCAAGTTTAGTTGCACATTTCACAATAATCTATAGATATTCGGGTGTAACGAGAAATGTTTCTAACCTTTAATGTTGGAGAGTATGGATACTTCATTAGGTAGCATATGTATTCCATGTGGAGTACATGTATTGGGAGTATCAATACTCTCTCAATAATATCGATACTAAGTTATTAGTATTGAAACTAAATAATGGTATCGGTATCAAATAATGCTTCGAAGTAAACAATATCAATATTATTAAAGGAAGCAACAATATTACATGAACAGTATGCCGCATGAAAAATATAGAAACTCCTTTACATAACTTGATGCATTAACATCAAACTTAGATGCTGCAATTTCTAGTCTTGTTCTAGCTAATGTCTTCCTTGGTAGTCGCTCCAAACGCCGCTGATAATGACGATGACAATGGCAGCTCGTTGTAATCATTCTATTAATTCTTCTAGTAGAGTCTAGCCACTGCTTTAAAAGCTGCCACACGACATCATTCTATTAGGGTTTTGCATTATTGTCATATTTTTTTCAATTTAAACTGTTACTTTTAGATTGTTTTAAGAAAATGAAGAGATTTAAAATTATGAAACTATTATTTTTTAGCATATTTATAACTAAGATCCAATAATTTATAAATTTAAAGGATAAAATCGTTAAATTTTTTATAATTAAGATTAACTTAATAAAAATACATAAATTTAAAAAAAAATTAGATTTTTAGAAATATAATAATGTAAAACCAAAATAAAATTTTACAAGTTTAACTATAAACACGGCATTGAAATAATACCCGTGTAATAAAAGCTTAAAATTCAAAATATATAACCAAAATCTAACATTTTAACATTAAAATAAGTCTTAACTCCTACTTTAGTCCCTCTACTATGCATAAATTTGATATTTAATCTCTTCATTTTCTTTTATTTAACAATTAATATTCAATCTATTAATCGATTAATCTAAACCAAATATTTCATAAGCACATTAAAGGGATGACCATTCCAATTCAATCTACTTCATTCACAACAATATGAATCAAATCTCTTACTTTACTTGAGGAATCTAATATCTCATCTTGTTAAACTAACTAATTATTGGTTAAAATTAATCAGTATTACAGCCACTACAATGATGATATGAAATGTCATTTAAAATCTTAAACATAACTATTGGTTATGTGATAAAATAACAATAAAATAAATAGCTTACTTAACCCCAATTAACAATATTGATTGGGCTACTAAAAATATTCCTTCTATATAGGGTTGCACATTTGTCGGATTTTAATCCGATCCGGATCGGTTTTTATCCGATTCGGTTTTTTCCCATAGAAAAAAAAACCGGTTTATAAAATAACCGGTTCGGTTTCTAACCGGTTTGGAGGGCCGGATATCCTAACCGGTGTAACCGGTTTCGGTTTTAAAAAAAATGGTTTTTTTAAAAAACCGGTTATAAAAAAACCGATTTTAATATTATTAAAATTACATCATCATCAATTGCAACAATGTTTACGATAATTTGTTGAAAATATTTTGATATTTCGATATACATGTTTAGGGTGGTAAAATGGTAATTTTTTAAAGAAAAAAACGGTCAAAAACGGTCACAAAACCCCCCCAACGGCTATATTAACGGCTAGTTTTTTAAACCCATACCGTTTTTTTTTCAGGATAAAAACCGATTTTTTAACCGGCTTTTTTCAAACCGGTTTTTTATCCGGTAAAAAAACCGGTCTAGGTTTTTTTCTCCAAACCGGTTAAAATAACCGGTTAAAAAAAATCCGATCCGGTTAAAAAAAACCGGTTTTTCCCAAATCCGGTTTCGGATATTTTTTTCGCAAAATCGGATATTCGGATTTTTTGTACACCCCTACTTCTATACATCCAATTCATTTACATCTATCAAAATAAATTTATCAACACTTTTTAGAGATAATTTTATCATTTTCCTCATTTTATATAACTTGGCATATAGTCGATTTATCTCCTAAAACTATATGCATAGTCTACATGAGACAAAATTAATGGATGGAGTAAAAGTTAACGGCCAAATTATACCGAGTTAATATAGAGGAATTAAATCAGTAATTCAACGTAATAAGACTAAAAAATTGATATTCTGATAATTCAACAGACAATTCAGATATTCTAGATTTCTTGTGTACAAAAAAGATGTGCTTAGCCACCCACACAAAACATATATAACTAAATTTTCACCACAAAAATATAGAGGGCAGTCCTAAACATATCCACAAATTCCACTCCAAGTGCTAGATAGTTCACAAAACAATTGGCATTTACCCCATCATCTATACATTCAACACATTTTGCAGTTTTCCAGTTATATCATCTACACCATCTGCAGTTTCAGTTTGAGCTTCTTTTGCAGTCTTCATCTTGTGGAGCTCTGCATTCAGTTCTGCAATCTGCTTTTCTATCTTTGCTCCCTTATCAGGCAACCTCGACACCGTAACCTGCCCCGATAAATTCAGAAGATTCAAACAAGTATGCTTAAAAAAGAGCTTGAGGTTATGTTAAAACAGATTGCTGTTGGAGAAATTTGGTTTAAAACTAAAGGACACTAAAATGGAAGAACCATAATTGATTTCATTACTTGACTATATGCCTTTCAATAAACAAATGTCCACTCGATTGTTGTGCACAATATTGTATTATTGACGAAGTTTGATTTGAAACCGTACCTTGTTTGCAAATATTTGGGACAAGCGATTGATTCTCAGTTTAATTTCACTCTCAGTTAATTTGGCTATGTCTTCAGGGGATGCGCTTTTCCTGTTCAGCATTACATCCTTTGGCTTGAAAGCATATTCAGCTCTGTCAAATATGTTAAATATAATTATCAAGTTCCACACAGATGTGTAAAAGATTATATCATGAAAATAAAGGATTATCATAAGAAATACCCATCAGGACTCCGTTCAACTGCAGAACTTGAAGATGAATATCTCACGGCCATATTTCCTTTTCTCCTGTTTCCATTCATGTGCAAAATGGATAGAACGAAAAGTCCATGAATCCTAAGTACATGACTTGATTTAAAAGACATTAGGGAGCAAGAAAAAGGCAGAGTTTTCACCTTATGTCTTCTTCATCTTCTTCCTCTACAACTTGTAACGGAGCTGCTTTAGAGAAAAGCAGACTGTGATGACTAACTCCAGCTATTCCCAATGTTTCCAGGAATTTTATGTGGTTTTCCAATGATTCGTCCCTGTAGGCCCAATTGCAAATATCAAAACAAGGAAAAGAAAAAAAGAATTCATAATAGATGAATGTCACAAACTGATCTGGATAAAGTCAAAAACTTTCAATGCCCTCCTGCAAACATGCAGGTGTTATGTTGCTTCATAAGAATGCATCTATTGAACAAACATGGTGATATTACTAGTCCATTTCAATTTTTGAGAAGTACACTCGTAAAAAATAAAAGGTTTCAATTATTCCAAATAAATTATTTGTAGACTTGGTGTTTCTAACTAACAACTGGTTGCAAAGGTTATCTGTTGACCTTTGAATTCGTAGATGTGGATCTCAGACCATTCCCATCAATCACAGAAAGAATGAAGAGAACTAGACAAAAAGAGTAGGAACTTAGGCAAAAAGGAACAATATATTATAGGAACTTGAAAATAAACAAATTCAAGCAGATATTAGTTTTTGTTAATACTCCCAAAGAAATAGTTAAATTTCAACTTACTTCACTGCCATTAAAACATGATACAAAGAGCACAGTGCTATAATAGTAGGAAAAGATTTTCTGCAAATAAGCAATGTGGTAAAAGTAAATCATACTACTAGATAGAACAAGTTCAGTACATTTTATGTTGTCTATCATGCTCTTCGTGTAATTGCTTTTGAGTAAGTGAAATGTCAAACCCCTGTTTTGGAAGGCTAAAAAGTTCTCGAAGATCCTGAAAGATATTAAAAAAAAAGTAAATACTAAATGCTTAAAATTAAACAGGACATGATGTTTTAATAAAAGAGTACCTGTTGACTGAAGTAGCGGATCTGTTCTTTGTGCTCAGTTGCAGTCTTAAATAATCCCCCCTTGTATATCTAAATCACAATTTTTTTGGCAAACAAGTAAATTAGTGAAAATAATCAGACTTCTAGCTATAAGGAAAAATGGAACCACAGCTATAAGGCTGGGAGTATGGGAATCCTACATGTAAACCAAAATCTTAAGCTTATAAATGTTATCAGGAAATAGTCATTGTTGCCAGATAAATTTATTGTCGATCGCTTGATGCACAGTTACAATGATTATGCAATGTCAGGTAACTGAGAGTCCCATCAGCTTAACATAAAACTAATGTAACATGGCAGTAAATAACAAGAAATTTTCAATATTTCTTCAACCTGCTTTCTGTAAATCTTCTCTTCAACAGTTCCACAGGTCATCAACCTGTATACCACGACATCCTTCTTTTGCCCAATTCGATATGCCCGATCAACACTTTGGTTATCCGTGCTGTGAACATATTAATTAGTTTATAACCCTTAAACACAATGTAACCTTACAGAAAAAGTAAAATTAGTTTTGGTGAAGAAAACACACTTTGGAAAAGCATAGAAGCTAGTTTGTTCGTAGCATAAAAATAGAAGGAAAATATAATGGCAGAAATTGGGGGGGGGGGGGTAACCAGTTTATTAAAATCAGATGAACTTTGCATCATTTTGACAATTGTTCTCAACCAGGGACAGACGCGTGATTTTATGTTTTGTGGGGGGGGGGGGTTATAAAATTTTAGGGGGAAGGGAGGAAATTAGATCATTTAAAAATAAAAAAAAATAACTAAATGATATGAAAATTTAAAAATTCCAGGGGGTGGTTTAGGGTATTCAATTAGAGAAGGAGAAAAATTCACCCTTACATTATATTAGATAATAGATAAATGAAAAGCTAACTATTTTACCAAATTATTTATTTCTTAAAAGGATGTATGAATCAAAGTATACTCACAAACTGAAGAGGGGAAAAACAAACATACCTCGGGTTCCAAGCAGGATCAACCACAATGACTCGATCTGCTTTTGTAAGTGTAAGGCCTAGACCACCAACTTGGGATGTCAGAAGAAATATAGGAGCCCCAATACCTTCTTGAAAATCCTGAAAATAAAAGAGATAAAAATCATGTGAACACAGAGAGAAATTTTAAATCAATCTAGTTTTCAACTTACATTAACAATCTTCACTCTGTCAGTTGCTTTTGTAGTACCATCAATACGTAAAAACCTGTAGTTGTTTGATGCTAGAGACTCCTGTGAACAACTAAACATAATCAAAGATTGCATTGGATAAAAAGTGTAATGAATGAGAAATTCCAAATCAAAAGGACAAAACAAATCGAAGAAAAATGCCTTTGATACATAGATGGTAGGGTTTTAAAACTCCAAGAGTTAAAAAACTATCACACACCTATTTCTTTTTTTCGTTCAACTTTCCTTCCTTTTGCTATACCCTAAAACCTATATGTTACCCTCTTAACCTTGATTGCAGAAACTAAAACGTTTCAATGGTAATCCATTAGATAATTTCTCATTCAAAGAAATCTTCAACTTATTTCTCAAGTTTGCAATTTCAAGCATTTAAAACCAAGTCAAAGACAATTGTATTTTAAATACCAAATATGGAAAATTCACCCTATTTGAAATTCTTTGACAATTATGTTGCAAAACAGATGATTCTGTTCAAGAATATTATTGCAAACAAGTTAAGAACATTGTTTCACCATACAGAAAAGGATTTAAAAGGAAATAAATGTCAGGCCTTTGATGTATTCAAGGAGAATATAAGGTAAAAACAGGATTTATGTTTTCTTAATTGTGCATGAACAAAAAAGTGAAACCCTTTAAAATTAAAGTTTTGAATTCATATAATAATTAAAAAGTTTGATGTAATATTTTATGATAATCACACTGTACCACGATACATAGTATGATAAAGAAATTTGTTTCATACCTCGTGTCAAAATGGGTTCAGGAAAATTAGCAAAGCAAATTATAAGATGTGACTACAGATGGAGCTAGGATTTTAGCTAACTACAAATATCTAGCAACCAATAAGACCCTATGTTACACAATTTATCACCTATCACTATTAAGAAGCTTCACTTTCTTCTCTTCCGGCATAATGAGTGATAAATAAAGCTCTAAATGCTTAATTATTGGAATAAAATTATATAAATATATGGTATAATTGCCTCACCAAATTGGCAAATGTCATGGAGCAATGTCGCAGTCTAAGCAATAATTCTGCTAATGCACTCATAACAAAAAGCATGAAGTAGTACCCCGTAGAAAAGGAGAAAGGAAAGGATGCAGGGAAAAGGATAAGCAATAAACAAGCAAATATAAAAGTAGCAATTCTCTGTAGCACCTAGGGGTCAAATTCTAGAAATGGAAAAAGAAAAGTTCATCCATTGAAGTAAAACTTAGTCAAGAAATTCCTATCAATTTGCCCATACTAACTAGACCTATAAGAATTCAGAAGCTTGAAAAATTAGACAGCATGCTGCCTTGAAAGGTAAATGAGCTAGAAAGTCAAGGTCTAAAACAAACCTGAATAAGATTAAGCATTTTGCGAGTTTGAGAAAAGATAAGAACATGATGACCCTCTGGAATTAAAGTGTCCTAAAAAATAGCATCGAATGTATTAGATTTAAGAAAATAATTTATACCTTGACGTTTATACATAAACAGAGCCCCTTACCAAAAGTGAGAGTATAAAGGATATTTTGCATGAGAGATTGTCATGGTTATCTTGAAAGTCATTTGTTTCAGCAACATCAGCAACATGCATGGCCAATTTTTCAGCGACGCTAACATCTTCTGGATTCAGCATCGATTCCATCCCTTCTAGTACATCCTCAGCAGCTCTCTTTGTCAAGAGAAGTGGATGATCACATATTTTCTTAAGAATCTGGTTCGATAAATGGCCACATGTTCGTATTACATTATAAAAAGTTTTAAAGAATTAAAGGAAATAATAGCTAACTACATCAAAACTGTACACACCACCTCACAAACTGTTTCAGCTAGACCACATAAATTAACAGCTAATTATGAAGAAAAACAAATCTTATATAAGTTGAATATATGCAGAATATTTCAGATATTACAGATAGACGAAAGAGACAAATTACTCTAGAGAAGATACTTTAATCTTGTCAGAATCCGAGAGCTGATAAATTCTAACCACCTACATAACCTAATATAAATATTCTAGGCAAGCAACTGAAAGATGATTCCTCCGATTGAAAGCATTGCACAAGAACCGTACTCGTTAAAAAGGAGATTCTAAGTTTTCTTGCACATCTTAAACAGATTCAGAGAAGAAAAACAATTCCTTTTGGGTTTCACAAATGACACCTGAACATGTTCTCAAAACTAAATTTTCAGTATATCAACAAAAAAAGCTGGTGACATCCTTGGGCTTTCTTTCGCCAAATATCCCTAAGACTTCTAAAAAGACTGGAAGCTTACAACTCTAGCAGTGATTGACAACCAAAATCTCTGAAAATATTCCTTATAGCTAAAACCTCAAAATCTTAAAAAACATTTGACAGGCATGCACATCAGCACATTATGATAAACATTAAAAGAAACTGGAACAAAAAAAGATGGGAAAAATGAATAGAAAAATGGTACCGTCAAAGCAGCTAGAGGCGAGCCATCAAAAGCTGAAAGAACTATCTCGCTATTCAAAAAAGCCTCGTACAGTCGTCGCTAAATGGAAGATGTGAATAACCGTAAGTGGTAATAATAATAATAATCCACCACAAAGAGTAACATTCCGAAAAATAATGCCAAGTTCGTGAATTTGCACCTGGCAACCAGTCAACTTTAGCCATACAATGATCTCATTTTTCTTGGAAAGCTTGGCACTCGAGTCATTATCTTCACCAAATACCTCTTTTCTTTAACCGGCGTAAAAAGTAAGGTTGAATACGTTCTCTTAGCTCCTGCATAGAGGGCAAGGGCAAAAAGATTAAAAATGTGTTCTTTCATTTCAAAAAACTTTCAATGGCCATAACAGAGATAAGAAAAAAATGAATAAGCAACATAATGGATTCAAAACATGGACATTAATAAAATATTATTTAGAATAGATAGTAAAACATATATAATTAAACATTAAAATATAAAAAATAGGCTTCCCTAAAATGCAATTTTTCACTAATAAATTTCACCAGAATGCATTTACTTGTAACTTCAAAAACCTCGGCATTTATATGCTGTCAGGTTTTACCAAGATCTTACATGATGAACTTGAATACTGACTCTATACTTTTTGTTCAGAGCATTAAACATTGACATATGATAGTACCTTTTAAATTAACTTTTTACAAAGTCAGTCATGTGAAACTGGATGCAGCAAAGATTGAAGTGTACTAAGTCTAAAACAAATTAAAATAACTATAGCCATGGATAGTGATGATCTATCTATATAGATTATATAGATTGAATATTTTATAAAACAATGAAAAGCGATTTGAGATTTAAATCAAATTTACAGAGTAATCCTGTGAGAGTGGAGGTGAAAAAGATTTGAGTACCAAAGCAAATGAGCAGGTAACAATGTCAATGAATGGTAAGGAATATAAAGATAGATGACAATAGTTTCTGCAACATTGGATATTCACAGAAAGCAATTTGACTTTAACATCTGAATAACAAAAGGATGCCCAAGATTGAGCCATCAAAGCTATCCACACCTTGGCAATTGTTGAGCCGATACGCTTTTCCCTCTCAGTTGCATTTTTGTCGTTTCCACGTAAAATAGCATGCTCATATCTTTCCTTAAACCTGAGAAAATATCAAAGACTCGGAGACATGAAACAGAAACATAACGACTCCAGTAGAACAAAACAATTACCATTTATTATCACCAAGTAGCTCAGGACAACAGAAGTTGAATAAGGCCCACAGTTCCTAATACAAAGCAATAAGGAAAAAACTAAGTAGAACATGGTAATATAAAGTTACTTTCAACATAAAATAAAATACAGTACATCTATGGAGTCAAAGAAAAATGAAGATAAAGTAAAAGATGTACCTTTAGATTGTTCTGAATTGGCGTGCCACTTATGATTATCCGATGAGCACTTGGTATATCAAGCAAACTTTTTGCCCTTTGTGTGCTAGGGTTTTTTATGAGATGGCCCTGGAACAGTAAGCAGAAAGAAAATCAAGGAACATTAAGCACTTGCAGGAAAGACAATACATTCAAAAGGAAACAAGATTTTAAGCAACTGCAAACTGAAAGAGATATGTTGAGTGAGTGCATCCTAATGCTGTCAACATCAGCAGGCAACCATTAGCTGAAGAAAATACATCAATAGTAAATCATATATCATTTGATAATCCTAAAACTCAATTATTTAATGGCCCCAATTTAATTTTGAAGTTCATCATGCTTCAACAAAATATCATTTAGAAGCTATCTGAACATTTCCAACAAAAACAAAAAATTTAAAATTTCTGCTCTAAATAACTATGCTAAAAGCTTAAATCTTAGGCCATCTTTTGTCCCTCACAACATTTGAGTACCAACTTTACAAAATACTTTACTATTCCAAAAGAATCTAGAAGAAACAAAGGCAAAAAAAAACATATATATACCTAATGCAGGATCAAGAAAAATTGAAAATGTTATATACCACTGCTCTTTTTATCAATATTTTGTAAACCATCTACATAAGACAAGATTCTAAGTCTACAACTAAAACATGAACTCCAATCAATGTACAAGAAAAAGGATCACTAAAAGGTCATAACAACAATATGTTTGTATCTAAACAATAACAGCTTTTCTAAACAAGCACTAGACAATGGACCTCTCAATATTATGGCTTTTCAACAAGCAAGATGGCTAATCTGGCACATTGTTGGGTAGCAAATTATAGCCAACAAATATAAACTATATCCTATATGCACCCTTCCATTCATTCTAAGATCTGGTGATAGGATGCTTTGATGGAGCTAAACAAAACGTACTTTATGCAAATACATTGGATTTATCCTATTCTGCAGATTCAACAATTTTTGAATATGAACCCCAAAAAATTATAAAACAAGAAAATGCCATTAGATAAAATTAGAAATTGCATAAATTCATTAGGTAACCAAAGCCAAAAAAACGTTGAATTACAAGCCATATTGCAACAACATCTACCTCATCAAGAATCATATAGTCCCATATGATATCATCCTCATCATCACTGTAGTAGCTTTCTCCTTTCAAAGCTTTAGAGTTGTTCCGTACAATATCATACGTTGTCAGAAGAATCCCTTGGTTCTACAAGAAACAAGAAAATTCACCAAACATGAAAGCACTAATATGGAACAGACTGAACAAAGTAACAAACAAAAGAGGAACTACAACCATTATTGTATGAATGCTATACGCACAAATTAAACAGAAAGCAACACCATAGAATAAATAACATCAAATATTCAAAATCTTGTAAAATCAATTAGAATTTAAGGTTAGTCAAAGTTGAAATAGCTTGAAACCTTCAAAACTAGCAAAAGCTAACTTCCAGAAAATTCAAATGGATCCTAAAGTTGCAATAATTGTCTCTTATTTGCTTGTAAAAATTTGACGTATTTTTATATATAGCATCATTATGGATAATAAATCAACAAGTATCACCTGAAGTACATCATCAAGCTCATATTGTCGAGTTTTAGCAGAAGTCGCAAAGTACCTGTAAAATAGCAGAAATAAATGATTATTCATACTAATTCAATATCAATTTTAACATCAGAAATACAGTGAACTTTTGAAGTCAAGTAGACTCACTCTCTAGTCTTCCTAGAAAGCCCTACAACAGAGAGTTCTTTGATCCAATGAGAGAGCAATGTTTTGGGGGCAACTATTAAAGCTCTTTTAATCAACTTTGAATGAAACAATCCTGCTAGAAAGCCACAAATCTACCAAAATAACAGATAAGAAAGATTCCACATGAAAATATACAAATATATAAATATATATAAGACACACACACCTTTACTTACCTGCATTGTTTTTCCCAGGCCCATATCATCCCCTAAGATTCCACCCTTAACCTGGCAATGCAAAGACCAAAGCCATTTCAACCCTTCACGCTGATGCAGATATAACATTTTTGCAACTTTTGTTGGCAGATTAAAGGTTGAATTTGGTCCATTCAAAATAATAGGCTGATCACTTTCTGATAAGGAATCATCATCATAATCATCAAGCTCATTGACTTCCTCAGACTGATCATACTTCTTCATGTTATTACCATATCCACCAGCTTTTTTAATTCCTTGTTTCTTGCTTAATATTAAACAATCATCATCAACCTCTTCTTCGTGTTCCGATGCATAAGACCCACCCACAGACAACAACCGCTCATATGCATTTTTGGGTTCATTCTTCTTTAGCCTTTGAAAATTTTTCTTAGGTTCATGTACCCTAGACACTGACACCAATTTCTCCTTAATCTTTCTTGATTCTTCTTCACAAACCTTCTGTTCACACAAATTAATTACATCCTGAACACCTCCTCCAATTTTCTTATTTGAACCTGATAAGGGATCAGATGTATTAGAAAATGAAGAATCAGCACTAGAATATTCTGGAGATTTCATTTTTGGGGCTGCCTTTTTCTGTATAGACAAAAGCTCAAGCTTGGAGCTCAAGTCATGTAAAATATCTATAATTTGACCTCCATCCTCACAAACATTCTTTGTTTGCAAAGGTGAACCAAAATCACATATTCCAGAAAAATTAGGTTCATTACTAATCAATGTTTTATCTGCATCCCGAGATGAAACTTTACACAAACGACGTCTACCCTCTATCTTCACCTTCAAAGTCTTTGCTTCTTCCTCTTCTGAAAATCCATTCATTCAAACGAAAAAGAACAGGTCATTAATTTCAGGGGGGAAACGAAACAAATAGACCATCCTTTGAGAAGGAAAAACAAATGAGAAAAAATGGGCAGTGAAAAACATCTAAATGTAGAAAGGATAGTAACTTTCAGATAAGAACATTAAAACTTACCAAACAAAAAGCAGACAAAAACACAGTAAATAAATAAACAAAAACAGAACTGATTGGATAAAGCAGAAAACAAAAGCATTTAACCTGAAAAAAGAAAAATACTATATTGTAGAAAAGAAATCAAAACCCACGCTCCATCTTAATCATACGTAAATTTATCCCTACTCAAAGAGATGGGTTCCAATCTCCGTACAAAAATTTTTGAATTTGATGGACAATGGAACCCATTTAACAGAATGAAGAGATGTAAACATCAAACCATGCCATGCTTTTTAATAAAGAAACCAAAACCCGCCAAATATATTAACCCTAAAATTAAAAATAAAAAAACATAGCCTCTAAGCAGTTGTAAATAAAAGATTTCTTATACCAATAGGAGAATCAAAATCGGTGATTCCAGAGAAGTGAGGAATAGATTCGTCTCTATGGGATTGCTTGCAAAGACGACGTGGAACCTGAAATGCCTCCTCTTCAGACTCTTCTTCTGCAAAAGCCATAGCAATCGAATCGGTAATCAATACATACCTCCCCCCAAAAAAAAAACCTATTTAGGAACTGAACCCCAAACCAAATACCTAAAAAGGAAGAGATTGTACTGGGTTTGGGAGGAGCAGAGAGGTCTTGGATTAAACGGTAGTGTCTGTCGTTCAAGCTTACTGCCTTTCGAGTACTGTTCTCTTTATCCGCCATTTTCTTCTCTGGGTTCTCTGGGAAATGAAAAGGTATTGTATCTCTAAAATCCCAATTTTGGGGGAAGATTGTAAGCTTATATATAAAATAATTGAAGGTCGTGAGTGCCTTTTCCCGCTTTTGAGTTTAATTTTTGAATTTTGATTAGCAAGAAGGACGATGGGACATTCCTCAGGCGCTACGTATGTGATGTGCTGCTACTCGTATTCCAAGTTAACCGAATTTTCTTTGGTTCATTTAAAAAAATTAAAAAGAAATTGATTCAATTAACAATTAATGAATTTTGATTTTGAACAATTGAATTCGGTCAATTAACTATATTAAACGTCCGAACATCCTTATATGTATGTTCAAAAAAAAAAAAAAAACATCCTTATATGCAACCTTTGCATGTTGCAACTTTGTATTAAATCATCCTCTAAGAAGCGTTACATAGATGTTATAAATAGAACTCGATGGAAAGTTATTTTATGAGTTGAGTTATTTATTAGATGAATGACACAAATAATTCACTGATTATAAGATATTGTTTTGTTGAATCATCTGACAATTAAAATTTATAAAATAATTCCTTAATTATAAAAAGTTATTTTGTTGAATCTCTTAATTATTAAAAGTTACAAAATAATCGTTTGACTATTCATTGTATTCAAAACTCGTCATTTTATGTTAAAAAATTAACGATAATCCGAGTTGAACATTAATATGTTGATTAAGATATAATAAAATCTGATCTTATCGTCTCAAACGACTATCATATCTAATTCAACATGTTAAAATTTAATTATATAAGTTATCATAATCTATTTTATACATGTATTTTCGATCGTATAATCTCGAGGGATGTATATATTGCCATAATACATCATCCAACCACCAATTCAGCATAATTGTAAAACAATCCAATGTATTTTTACCATAGATACATATGCATAACACGTTTATATAGATATGGGTGGATTGAGAGAGCAATAAGAATAATCATCCCTTGAAATTTTAAATTATCATATATTAAAATTTTATTTCCATATATTTTTAATTGATAATTTATTTTCGTCCCTTAAAATTTTATAAATTCGCCCCCATAGCATAAAATATTACATAGCATAAAATATTACATTCATCCCTGCATATACAGAGATTCTGATGAACATAACAGTCGTAGAATATTTAGATGTTAATGATAGCTCATAATGCTGATGCTTTATTCTGTAAAACCTTGCTTGCTGCACATCTTTGAGTAACAAAATCCTTACCAACAATTTAATAACAACAGATGGATCATATAAGTAGGCATCGAGCATTAATGGCTAGCTCCATTCATATCAATATAGTACATATACTGGTGTAAAATCTGTAAGGTGTTCGATCGTCTCCACGTATGTGACCAGTTTGATCTCAAAGTTTAGGAATAACGACACGTAAGATTCCGTCCCTGCATCAGAAGAAGCAACGAAGCCATCCGCATCAGTATCTTCCGGAATTAAAATTTCAGCAGACTCAAACATGCCATAACTCGTAGGAAGAAATGTTAGATGGTACATTCGAAGAAGAAGCCTGTACTTGAGAAGCAATCAAGATATACGATGCCTAGCACTTACAGAAACTCAGCCGAGACGCTGTCCCTGTTCGCGTTAGCAGGAAGTGGCCACACAACCTTATAAGGCCCTTGCAATATCTCCCTCTTGTGATACTCAGCGGTCGAGTCATTCAAGCTATCAGATGCTACTTTCCAACAACGGCTAGAGCGTTCACCGGTCACCGTTAATCTGTCAGGAAAACAATGTTTCTTATCACAATGGCTAGAGCGTTCACCAGTCACATAAAACTGAAAGACCTCAGAATAGTCTAAGAGCGTATTAGTCTTACTTGTGGTCATCAACCTCCACTCTAATATCACTGATGCCGACACCCGGAATTTCAACCATGATCACATAATCGCGTCCGGATTCTGCAACATCCATCCTGGGGGACCATTCAGTGCCTGCATCAAATATAAAAACGAAACCAGATTCTTATTCACCATTGAAAATACAAAAAGTGAAATTGAATTATCGGCTCCCTGCAAAACTTGGCATTAAGAATTATATACTCAAATCAACAAGTTAAAGGGAAAATATATAGAAACAAGTCAAACAACTACATCAAGATCATCCTGTTCAGAGACCAAAATTAGTTACCATTAGATCTGGGCCAACATGTTTTCTCCATAGATTGCAACGGCATCTCTTCATTTGTACTTTTATTTGGTCTAGCAAACATAGGAGGGTCAGGCATGGATAATCTCCAATCTAGACTCAAAGGTTGGTTTGCAGCCAAATTCGAGAAGTTCGGATCCATCATCTTAGGTCTAGAAAACAATGGTCCTTCAGAAGCACCGGAACTCGGAGAGCAAGAGGATTTGGAGGGTGCAGCAGGCTGAGGAGCAGTTCTCTAGGGCAAACCATCATAGAATTGTTCAATCAGTTACTGCTAAACTATAGAATCAAAAGTTTATGTCTGATTGCAAAGGTAAGCAAGGATGGACAGATGGGGCTGGCGGGACGATCGCTCCCTGAAAATTTCAAATTCTCATATAATTGAGGTATTTTGATTGTATTTTATATTGATAATCTGTTTTCGTTCCTAAAATTTTATAAATTCATCCCCTAACATATCCGTCCACGAAGGTAAGTACCTCTGCTCTTGAAACTTGTCTCATGAAACAAGCTTGATATGCTGACCCTTGACGTGCAAAATGCATTCTATTATCACATCTACGGACCACATAGTTCAAACTCCCACTGCAGTTCTGTGATGCAAAATCCAGGAAAACATGAATAAGAAATCAACATGCTTAATGCTGAATTTCACCATTTAAGAGTGATTTTACTAGTAATTCAGCAACACTCTCAGACATTACCATCAATAGTTCAACAATTTATATAAGAGTAAACTACTCAAATGACCAATTAACTATGAGGCCATTATACTTTCAATTTTAGCAATACGACCACAAAACTATTTAAATGATTTCAATGTAGCCATCTAACTATACAAAACAAGCGGAGTAGCTAATACGGATGTTATTGACTAACGGCGAGTCAAAGGGCCACGTCAGCTACGCCTACACTTAAATAGTTATGTGGTCATAAAATTGAAATTACGATGATCATATCGATACAAACTCCATAGTTAAGCTATGAGTAGTTTTCCCTTTTATATAATTACTTGAATAGTTGAACAAAAATACAACCAAGGTTAATTTCTTGTATATGAAGAGCTAAAATGAGCGAAAAGCAGTAAATAGCTACAACCCAAATAAGCTTTTTCCAGTAAATATCAGCAAAGAGAAACTGACGATGAGTTTTCTGCAATATTATCTGGGGGAAAGAGATGGAGAAGAAAAAAGAGTTTTACCATGGGGAGAAGGTGAGCAACAGATAAAATGTCGTCATTGGGTGAAAAATGGGCTGCAATGTTGCTGATTCTGCGTCTTGCTGCTTCGTTTTCCATTTTGGGTTTTCCTGAAAGACGGATGGCTTTGCAGATTCGATAAATTTCAAGTCTTTTAAGCTTGGATTCTGTGTTTTGAGTTGATAAAAAAAATCTGGGTTTGAGATATTTTCTTCCTATTGTGGTGGGACATTGCAGATCAAAATATCCAACAAAAAGAGAGCGACACACCCTGTAAAAATATCTCAGATTTTTTTCAATTTTTTTTTTGATATTTTCTATATCACTTATATTTAATTTAAAATTTTATTAATTTATTGAGTATTAGTTATCTTATTTTTTCATACTATTTATTTTATTTTTTAAAATTTTTTAATTTTAAATAAAAATTTATGTGTTTGTGACATATTTTTATGCTCTAGTGGTACGTGCTCTTTCTCTTCTTGTGGCATAATTTTTATGGATCTTGGTTCATTTTTACATACGTTTATGGTAGCTTTGATACTCGTACAAATGCTCTCCTTTATAAAGGTTTGGTTGACTCACCACTCATTTATCACTTACTAAAATGTTTCGTTTAACAGAGATAACGAACTTTTATAAAGGTTATTAATGAAATATTTTCTTTTTCTTCGTAATTTTTAGTTTAATTTTTTATTTTTGTATGGGCTTTTTGGGATTATTTTTTCTATTTTTCTCGTTAGGGTGTGTTGTAATTATGATTATTTCTATTATTATTATTAATGAAATCAATTTATCAATTGTTAAAAAAATTGGTTTTAAATTTATTTTTGTAAAAAAATAATAAACTAATAAATATGAAAGTTACATATATATATATTCTAAAAATCAATTAAACCCTAAGTTTTTGCCTCAGCTTTCAATTTTTTAAAATAGATTATATAATATCCACTAATTAATTATTAAGGCTTTCTTGACCATTATTATTGTCTTAAAGCCTTATTTAATCACTTTAATATTTTTTAAAGTTTAGGTTAATTAGTTTTTTTACATAGTTAGGTTAATTAGTTTGATTATAGATTACTCAACCACCTTTATTTTATTTAGAGTTAATTGTCGGATTGGTAATTCTTTTAAAAATGTACATTTTCTATTAAATTGGAAAAATTATGTTTTGACTATTTCTATTATCAATTTATTACATTTTATTTATTTATATTATCGGTTGTTATATTTTGATCTCAGTATCATTAATTATTGTTAGTTTGATGACATGATTTGTTAATAAAAGAAACTAATTTTTAATTTGACCCCTAGACTTTAGATAGAATATTAAATTTATTTCTGAAATTGAAATATCATTTTAATCTCTTAATACAACCGCAGACTCTTGCCATTGGTTGCCACTCACCACCATCGTTGCCAAAAAAAAGTCTCCTAAATTAAAATATTAATTCGATAAATTTTCAAATTAATTTAAATTTTAACTTTTTTTTTCTTTTTGATTCAAATAGAGGTTTCAAAGTTAGTCCCTAAATTAACTAAAGAGGGTTGAGGATTCATTTACTGGTTATAGGGTTGTTTAAGTTCAACGATTGAGAAAA